ACAGACATTTTACCCCGAGCTACACTCGGGAATACTGTTAGGGAGGTTAAAGTGCTACTAAACCCACAACAGTAAAATCAGTCTGTATATGCAGTAAAGCGTGCTTGTTATACTCACTGTGGAACCTAAGGGGTTAATCCTCCACACTGTGTAAAAAAGGCTGGCTTCTCTGATCCTCCCCTTCTTCCACAGTAAGCAATACATCTGCTCATAGTACAGAGCCCTAGGACACACTCTGAACAAGGTCAGTTTGGTGTGTATTGCTAGGGAGGTTTTTTCTTTTTTTTTGGAAGGGTGCATGTGATCAGCACAGGGCCAATCAGCACAGTCCAGAGGGTCAGGGGCCATGCAGCCTCATAGGACAGTCAGAGTAGAATGGAAACTCCCCCTACAAGCTTTAACCAGTGCTCAGCTAGACACTGATAGAAGTCACAAGACTGCTATATACTGCTGATGAGAAAAGGTATTTAGCAGTTTATATTTATTAAAATAATTGCATCTCTATGTTCTGCGTATTGTGGGAGACCAGATATAGTGGATGCAGGGTCCTGGGTTTAGTAACATAGTTACACACTTAGTCTGGCTGAAAAAAAAGACAAAAGTCCATCCAGTTAAACCATTAAAAAAAAATTATAATTCTATACCCACAGTTGATCCAGAGGAAGGCAAAAAAAAAAAAACCCAGCAAAGCATGATCCAATTTGCTCCTGCAGGGGAAAAAAAATCCTTTCTGATCTCCTGAGAGGCAATCAGATATTCCCTGGATCAACATTACCTATAAATGTTAGTATCCAGTAACACTTTAAGCAAAAAACTTCCTATGCAGGTAAGGGGTGCCTATAGACAAAAACAAACTATGCAGCTTTCACTAAAGTTGAATAATGCCCTTCTGAAGAACTAAGGGTGCCGCTTCAGGTTCCTGTATTCAAGTCCGGTAACTCACACTGTGGGTGCTGGCTAGGGAAAAGCTTGTTGCTGTTCAGTCCATGTCATGTAAGAAAAAGCCCCATGATGTTGACTAAGCCCTGTGGGCAGGAGCAAAACGTGTCGGAGGGCATGACCTGGAAAGAAATGGGCTGAGGCTGCTTGTATCTTATCACTGTCAGGTTTCACCAGTGTGTGGTGTTTAGGGGTTTCCCTTTTACTGAATAATGCCCTTGCTATAGATGTAGGCCATTTACATACCTCATGAAGCCTGACTGAAAAACTCCCAGGACGTTGCTAGGACATTGCTAAGAGAGGCCCAGCTCTTACTGTTCACCTCCACCATCACAGGAGTGAGCTCTCAAACACTGAGCTACTACATGAGGGGAGAGAAAGTGCTTGTGAGGGAAACTGAATCAGAGAAAGTGCTCACTTCTGTGATGGTGGAGGTGAACAGTAATAGCCAGGCTTCATGAGGTATGTAAATGGACTGTACCTATAGTAAAAATATAAAACAGTATATCCCTAAATCAATGATTCAATAAGAGATAAAACAATTCATTATGTACAGTTCTTGCTCATATTTTAAATAGGAGGAAAAGGATATTTGCAATATGTTAGATCTGCTAAGTAATGCCCCGTACACACGATAAAAATATCGAACAATCGACCATTTTTTTTTTTTCGCCTGCTGGTCTCATATCGAAAGTGAAAAGGTTACTAAAGTGACGAAAATTCTCCTATGAAAGAGTTTCGAAAGTGATGTCATGTATTGCGTTGTATTTGTATTGTATGTTCAGACGAATACTGTACTGATTAAACGAAAATCGTACGATCTGGTATCGTACGAGAAACATTTTTGCGCTTGTCCCTTGGGATATTGTTGTACGAATTGTCGTGATCGGCTCTCAGAAGATCGAACGAACAATCGGCCGTTTTTTTTTTTCACCTGCTAGTCTCACATCGAAAGTGAAAAGGTTACTAAAGATACAAAAATTCTCCTATGAAAGAATTTCGAAAGTGATGTCATGTATTGCGTTGTATTTGTATTGTATTTTCAGACAACTACTGTACTGATTAAACGAAAATAATACGATCTGGTATCGTACGAGAAAAATTTTTGCGCTTGTCCCTTTGGATATTGTCATACGAATTGTCGTGATCGGCTCTCAAAAGCTGTGTACTAACGTTCCGATTATCGGACGGTCGGTCCTCGTACGAAAATTTTCGTACGATTTTCTTATAGTGTGTACAGGGCATAACAGTGGGATTTTTTAATACGGCAGGAGAGTACAAAATCAGGCTCACTTCTGCATAGAAACTAATCGGCTTCCAGGTTGTATCGCCAAAGCTTAATTGAACAAGCTGAGGTTAGAAGCTGATTGGTTTCTATGCAGAAGTGAGTCTGAAATTGCACTCTCCAGCTTTAGTAAATAAACCCAGTATGTCAAAGATGTCAAAAAAAGACATGCAGACATATTATCAACCAATATAAAAAGCTTGAACAGATGTAATTAATGTCTGACAGCTGAATCTCATGGGATTAACACACACAAACTATGATAAAAGTTATTCACAATATAATAAAAGTATTTACAATATATTGAAGAAAAACCTGTTCTGAACCATTTTTGACTTGCTACTAAAAATTGCTAGGATGTCATCGAACCAGTGTAGCCCATGCAAATCAATGGGATTCTGGCTTTGGGTTTTGTTTTTTTGCAGCATTCGAGAGAATAACACTTCATGCACATGACCACAAATAGCCATATAGAGAACAATATGGCTGTACTTCTCTGCCGGGAGTGAAAGACGCAGCATACAGCCAATGTCAGTCAATCTGTACAAATCAATGGCAGACTACAGTTGTACCCATATACACGCAAATCCAAGTGGCTACATATGTACAAGGCCACTTTCCTGGCTCCACTCATTTGCGCTGTGTAGAACTGAACTGTCAAGCTGACAGCTTTCTGCTCTGTGCACTCCTGATATACAGAGCACAGGGAACTGCTGTCAAAGTGACAGTTCAGAGACCTGAACTCCTAGTACAATCTGCAGGACTAAGCTGTCAGTGTGACAGCTGAATCTTGCTCTGCATTCAGTTATGAATGAGAGCTACTGTTAAAGCCCTGATTAATACACTACCATCATGTAAAAAGTGTGAAAAAAGTGTATTTTTAAACAAAATTTTAGCTTCTTATTAACTTTAAATTAAAACTAATTATTTTTACTTCCTATTTTATCCCCTACTACCCTTAAAGGGTAACTCCACTTTCTTGGGGAAAAAAATAGCAAATAAAAAAAATAATATAGCACATACAATTGCTACACAATATAATAGAATGTTATTAAAAATGACCTTTCCTTTTGAATCTGCAGAGCTGTGATTTTATATTGAATGCAATGTAATATGGCAACCTGGAGGAATTCTGTACAGATGGTTTACGGAATGCCCCCAAGAAATGTAATTTCCTGCTTGTGTGATTGGCTTACTGATTTTCCCAGAAGTCTGCATTAAGATACAAGTCAGATTTTGGGCATCCCCTGCAACAAAAATGTCACTTTTGGTGAGATCCACCCAAAGGGAAATCACTTCTAATGGGATTCAGACCCTGTCACTTTCCTCATTAGAATTCTGTAAGTGCAGCAGCTGATTGATAATTATAAAGTCACTCACATTCACTTTGCACATGGACACAGACAAACATACAACTATTTCTTCAGAATAACAAAAGGTAAGAAACTGCAACAAAGTTTGTTAAAATCCTTAAAATGTACATAGCTTACTCAGAGTGGAATGGTTTTTTTTCTCACCAAAAGTAGAATTGCTCATTAACTTATTTTTATATTGACTGATCGCGTGCAAAATTTTAGTACAAGGGTCCTTATCACTGTACTATTCCCAACATGGACAAGGATAACAAAAACCCTTTTAGCAGAGTGGTTAGGATCTCTGTAAGGTTTTAATTCTGCCTGTTTCCCTGTCTCTATACCAAAAACAATGATCCTTTAGTTGGCCATCATCATAAAAAATATTAGGTATGATGCATAAAAGTATTTCTCTCCTGAGGCTGTTTTATGCTGTGCATGACCCGCAAAGAAAGACTGGCATACCATTCTAGAACAGTCACTGAAACACATGGTAACTGTGCAGATTTCCCATGGCACTTAGCAATATTTGAAAAGTGGGAAGGGTCAAGACACAGTAAAGTAAAGTATAATTCCTCATGCACACTGGGCGTCAAAATGCCACTTTTACGGAATTTGATGTTTTTTTCTGCCTCTAAATGTCCCTCCCGGTTAGCCTATGTGTCCATCTATAGGCATTTACACGCATTTACAGGCAGGTTTGGCCAACACATCTAAATATGTCTAAACACACCTAAATGCACCTAACAGCTAGGCGCGTTAAGCACTTGAGCATTCATTCATTTCAATGGCCAGAATAAATTAATATTCTGGCCAATTAAATGAGTGCATGCCCAAACCTTTGATGCGGCTTGAGGTGCGTTTTTTACTCTACTTTTCTCCTGCCAGGAGAAAAGGCATTCAGAAGAGCTGGACAAACACCCATTGTGTATGAGGCCTAAGTAAAAGGTAACTGTACCTAATGCAATACGACCAAGATAATGGACACTGTACAGCAAAGTCTTTACAGGCACAAAACATAAGACTGAGTTTGGCCTTTAGAGAGATAACTACCTGATACAGTTGACGACAATGATGATACATCTCAGGTATCATGAAATTTAAGACTCAATAATACTGTAACAAACTGCAGTCAGAGATGACAATAAATCAACATGTGCCTTAGTATTTTTAACGGCTAAGCTACCATATAAATCGTTTACGGCAATAACATACGCAGCACTGACAAGATCCATCATGTGCTGACAATGTAACTGCTGCCATAAGCAGTATCCACAACACAAAAGCTGCGCATTCCTCCCACAAGCCACCTATGCTGACTTTTCCTTCTTTCTTTGAAATGGGCGAATGGAAGAGGCAGATCTCCTGAGGCCCCCTATCCAAGTTGTCTCTGGTGAGGTGTTCAGGATTCACTGGGACATTACCTGTACTGTATGAGCCCCAGTGGGAAGACAAGTCATCAGATCTGCCTGCTCAGTCCTTGTTTCCAGAACAATGCTAGCAATAAGTTTCTCCTTCAGAGCTATAATACCTGGCAGGCTGATCCTCAGCATACTGCGCCACACTTAGATGAGATTTAACGCTCCACAGGCAGTCTCAGCAGGACTGTTGATCAATAAAAAGCACTCTCCTCTGAGAGTTGGCTTGACATCTTTAAACCTGGGAGTGCCAGAAAAATGGCAAAGCAATTCTGCCCTTCAACTGTCAGCGTGGGAGAACGGAGCAATTAATGCCACCGAAACGATGCAGAACGGAGATATAAAACATGCAGCTGCCAGGCCTAGCCAGTATATCTTTACAATACTGTAAGTACAGATTTTATAGACATTGAAAAACAGCAAGGAGGGGGCAAGGAGAGCAGCTGACTTAACTGCATAAACTGGACATACTCTTAAAAGATAAATAAAAAATATGTTGTGCATAATTTTTTTTTTAATTTCTAAACTAAAAAACATATAGTTTTGTACTTCCCATAAAATCATTTACTTGAAGTATTTTGAGGTACACAGGGATCATAACAATTGATAAACAGTCGTGTTTATACTGCTACCTACAGGAGGATGGAACACTGGGGAAAAAACATTAAGCCAATCCCATTTAACCCCACTGCCAAATGCCATGCTTAAGTTTTGTGAGCAAGCATTAGAAAAGCCAATAACACAAAGGGGTTGCAGAGGGTGGGGGGAACCCGAGTCCTTAAAAAAAAGATTTTACAGTAAGTACAAAAAGTACGCAAGAATTGGAGAACTTTTTATACAGTCATGATGTCCAAAAGGAGTCCAATTGAGGGGTTGGCAATAGCCAAAAAGAGATCCAATAGTAGTGGAGATTATGCTATAAGAAGTCTCTGAAGGAATCAAGGGGATGGCACTAAAGACCAGCCTGGTACTCCAGACAAGGACAGATAATCACCACTAAGCATAAAAATTGCTACTTGAATGAGCTATGGGCTTCAATCAGCAAAATAGAGGACCAGCTAACCATCCACCAAAAAAACAGGTGGAAATGGACTGGAGAAGACTAGACCAACATCAAACGTGATCTAACTAGGTCCATGATGACATAGCATATCATCTGACTAATCTCTTAAAGAGATATCTATGGAGGTGAGAGATCAAAAGGGACTGAGAAATTGCATAAAAAAGTGGAGCCATGCTAAACACGTAATTCCCAAACAACCCCACAAAGCCAGAAGGAGATAACAGGAAAGAATTCTGCTTATTTTAATATCTGGACATAGACTGCAGATGATAGTACCATTGGCTTTGCGCAAACTGCAAAAAAGGAAACTGACTTTTATCACAGAGAGTCTTCTAAGTGCACCACAACAGGGATGCAAGGAACAGGCAGTAGGGTGATCACAAAGGTTCAGTTCTGTGAGCAGGGTCCAGAGCTGCTGGAAGACACTAAAGAGTCAGGTTTTTACTAGGGAGGAGAGCAGTAGGGACTGATCCTTGTTGACGGAAGTGGGAAATGTCTGAGAAGAACCAGCACCGCAAGGGGCGCAACCATCTCTTATAAAAAGACTTCTCTGCATGGAGGAACACAAGTTCAACAGGATAACCTTTCCCAAGAATAGACTCCTACCATAGTAGTAATCAGCAATCCCAGGGAACCCAAACATACCTGGGAATATGCACAAAAAGGTGCAGTAATACCAGAAGGATGAGGAGGGGCAGTTAAAAATCTGTCTAAAGTGGAGGTTACAGGGATGGAAAGAGGACCTCTGGCTTTGAGATCTGTGGCTAGAAGATAGACTGGTCACTTACAAAGTATTACTGCCATACTGGATGAATGTTAGGGTTGCTTTGGCCCAGCCACAGATTTCCTGCATTGCGGCAAGCACACAGTCTAACCACCAGTAGCATGAAAAATGTAATTGTCAAGGGCAGGTCTGAAGAGATGCTTTCGCTTAAAGAGCAAGTGAATCAGAGATTCCTTAGGTATATCCTCGACATCTAGGGCACATAGCTAAAGTGTCTTACTCATATGAACAGACATCACCCCCATGCTTAGAGCCAGAAGCATAGATACTTGTAAAAGGCAATCATAGCTCAAGAGCAGGGCTTCAGATTTTTGTTCCGTATGCTCCAGGACATGAGGGTTTGCCCTTGAGATGGAAGGGACCCCTTTAATGGATTTGATCCTTTGTGACATTGATTCACAAATCAAAGTCACTGTCAACAGAGGAGGAAGAGTAATTCCAGTTACTTCAAACTGACATCAAAATAGGAAGTGCAAACTGTTTTTCAGTGAAGTCCCTAAAGGCAAGAACAGTTTCCTTGACACTTGTTAAGGTAGATGACTGGAGTGTGCCCTACAGCAGGCAGGGACCACTTAGCAAAAAAATCCCCTATCAAAGGAAAAAGCATCTTTACATTGTTGGGAGGGACCTCTGATTTTATAGGCTGTTTCCAACCCTCTTCTCATAGAGGAATGTTCTAAATACATAGTGCATTGGAAAAGGCTTTGCAGCTGTAAGATCTCTAAAAGACCCTTTGCCTTGAAAAGCAGGCTGACCCTCCAACTACAGGGTAGAATACATTGCATCAATCAGTTTATAAACAACACCTTCATTTAGAATTTGCTCTTATACATTCTCTTCGAGAGCAGAGTGTGAGGACTATGAATCTGAATCAGAGATGGTAATAGGGGCCCCAGGCATACTTAGAGATGGAAATCTAGTAAGGTCTCAATTAGACTCTGCCATTGATAGTGCCAGAGAGCTACTGCAAGAAGATTGCTCCATTACTGGTGGAAATAAATGGTTTTGTGAACACAGAGAAGGTCTGAGCCTATAGAAGACTCTAATGAGGACAACTCTATAACATTAGGGGTCCTAGGGATTACAGACATCAGTTCCTTCTGGGAAATTCAGAATTTGCCCCTGTACGTAGTAGTGGAGTATGGGCTTAGGTCACCCATTGCAGTAGCACTATTCTCTGTTTGTCTTTGAAAAGACATGTTGCACCGTGTAGCTGAAAAAACTGAGTCAGCTGGTGCTGATGAGGGTCAAAGTAACAAAGCCATTGTAGACAGGCAGTGGAATTAAACTAGACACCTGATGATCCACTAGGTGCTTCAGAAGCATGAGCAGCAGCAGGATGGTGCTTCATTTTGAATGAATCTAGAACAGTGGTTCTCAATTGCAGTGGGAGGAATAGTGCCCCATCATTGGTGTCAGTGGGAGGAATAGCGCCCCATCGTTGGTATCAGTGGGAGGAATAGCGCCCCATCGTTGGTGTCAGTGGGAGGAATAGCGCCCCATCGTTGGTATCAGTGGGAGGAATAGCGTCCCATCGTTGGTATCAGTGGGAGGAATAGCGTCCCATCGTTGGTATCAGTGGAGGAATAGCGTCCCATCGTTGGTATCAGTGGGAGGAATAGCGTCCCATCGTTGGTATCAGTGGGAGGAATAGCGTCCCATCGTTGGTATCAGTGGGAGGACTAGCGTCCCATCGTTGGTATCAGTCAGAATAGCGTCCCATCGTCGGTATCAGTGGGAGGAATAGCGTCCCATCGTCTGTATCAGTGGGGGGAGGAATAGCGCTCCATCGTCCAGTGGGGGGAGGAATATCGTCAGTGGGGGTATGGTGTCAGTGGGGTGGAGGGAATAGCGCCCCATCGTCGGTGTGTCAGTGGGGGAGGAATAGCGCCCCATCGTCGGTTGTCAGTGGGGGGAGGAATAGCGCCCCATCGTCGGTGTATCAGTGGGGGGAGGAATAGCGCCCCATCGTCGGTGTCAGTGGGGGAGGAAGGAATAGCGCACCCCATCGTCCGGTCTCAGTGGGGGGAGGAATAGCGCACCCATCGTCGGGTCAGTGGGGGGAGGAATAAGCGCCCCCGTGCCATCAGTGGGGGGAGGAATAGCGCCCCATCGTGCGTCTCAGTGGGGGGAGGAATAGCGCCCCATCGTCGGTCTCAGTGGGGGAGAGGAATAGCGCCCCATCGTCGGTTGGTCTCAGGGGGGGAGGAATAGCGCCCCATCGTCGGTCTCAGTGGGGGGAGGAATAGCGCCCCATCGGGAGGAATAGCGCCCCATCGTCGGTCTCAGTGGGGGGAGGAATAGCGCCCCATCGTCGGTCTCAGTGGGGGAGGAATAGCGCCCCCATCGTCGGTCTCAGTGGGGGGAGGAAATAGCGCCCCATCGTCGGTCCTCAGTGGGGGGAGGAATAGCGCCCATCGTCGGTCTCAGTTGGGGGAGGAATAGCGCCCCAGTGGGGGGAGGAATAGCGCCCCATCGTCGGTCTCAGTGGGGGGGAATAGTGCGCCCCATCGTCACGGTCTCAGTGGGGGGAGGAATAGCGCCCCATCGTCCTCATTGCGCCCCATCGTCGGTCCTCAGTGGGGGGGGAGGAATAGCGCCCCATCGTCGGTCTCAGTGGGAGGAGGAATAGCGCCCCATCGTCAGGTCTCAGTGGGGGGAGGAATAGCGCCCCATCGTCGGGTCTCAGTGGGGGGAGGAATAGCGCCCCATCGTCGGTCTCAGTGGGGGAGGAATAGCGCCCCATCGTCGGTCTCAGTGGGGGGAGGAATAGCGCCCCGTCGGTCTCAGTGGGGGAGGAATAGGCCCCATCGTCGGGAGTGGGGGGAGGAATAGCGCCCCATCGGTCGGTCTCCAGTGGGGGGAGGAATAGCGCCCCATCGTCGGTACTCAGTGGGGGGAGGAATAGCGCCCCAGATCGTCGTCAGTGGGGGGAGGAATAGCGCCCCATCGTCGGTCTCAGTGGGGGGAGGAAATAGCGCCCCATCGTCGTCAAGTGGGGGGAGGAATAGCGCCCCACTCGTCGGTGTCTAGTGGGGGGAGGAATAGTGGGGGGGGGAGGAATAGGCCCCCATCGTCGGTGTCAGTGGGGGGAGGAATAGCGCCCCATCGTCGGTGTCAGTGGGGGGAGGAATAGCGCCCCATCGTCGGTGTCAGTGGGGGGAGGAATAGCGCCCCATCGTCGGTGTCAGTGGGGGGAGGAATAGCGCC